AATAGCACATATCTCTTAAAAGTGATACATGCATCAAATGCTACCCTAACTATATGAAGGCATCCTAATACTTTTGAAAGAATCCTGTTATGGACCTCTGTGAAGGATCCAACAACTTGTATTTTTTGTAAATCTGTGTCTTATGGCAGATTTTTTAAAACATGAGACACTTAAATAGTAGAAATGAGATACATAAAAGGAGATGAAAATGGCATCCTTTGTCCTCTAAAACACTGTATTTTCTAAACATGCATTGTTGTCATTAATGTAGAATTTATAGTTATTGTTTCCTATTTAATACTCACTGATGATGTCAGTAAGAGGTGATACTGAAACAGTGTGACCACTATTTAAATTTTGTCCAGGCTACAGTTGAACATTCTCATTAGCTGAGATGGAAGGAGCATGTATAGAAGTGCCTTTAAATTTCTCTCATACATAAAGCCATCAAGTGAAAACCTCAATTAGTCATGCTGGGCCATGAGAGGTTAGTAGGCTGTCACTGGGAGGGATGAAGGCTTTCCATCTGCTAGGCCCTGAGGTCTGGAATTAAGAATGTGGCTTGTTTTTTAATAGGTAAACTTAAAACACTGAGAGCAGGTAACTCAGCTGTGTCCCGGGGAACTTAACCACATTTCCTAGGTAAATTATGATAGGTTTGGAGAAATGAGTAAACTTTTCCTAGTTCTTTGACCTTCACTTTCTTTAGATTCTCCTATGTTATTTCATATCCCTGACCTTGCCTCATTGCCCTCTAAATTTTCCATTTCCCACCTATTTAGTTATTTGCCTCATTTAAGTGATTACATGTTAGAATATTTTAGTTTGTAAAAATCACAACTTTCTCAAATACTCTTAAAGAAATATAAATCTCCAGAAAATATGCTGGATAGTTTTGAAATTAATATCTGTAATATTTTATGTCTCAGGCCCCATATTTCACTAGGAAAAATCTAAAATGCTATTTTAAAATAATTCAAAAGTATCCTGTTTATATTTGGAATAAGATCTGGATGCAATTTTTTATTTCACAAAAATATCCAACTTTAAAAATTGACAGTGTTAGATATCTACAACTACATAGACAGTTATTTGCACTTAAGTAGGATAAATTAATATTTAGCATAAATTAGAAACTGTTGCTAATTGCTTTCATGTGGTTTTCCTTCTTTATAAAAATTTTTAAGATTTTATGTTCATATCAGCATAGTAACATATCATGTATGATTAGGACATAAAACTCTTGAAATGGGCCACCATAGGTCGGTTACTGAGAATAAAACATTGTTAAAATGTGTGCTACATAAATATAACATGACTGTTGCTGTAAAGTTTATAATGTAAAACAAAAAATAGCACCACACTGAGTAATCATCATAACTATTGCATGTTTAATTTTTGTTTGTGATTTGCGAAAATAAAAATGGGTACATCATTAAAAGGGAGATTTCTATAGGTGTAAGAGGTCCAAAAGTGGCACTGGTGACTCATTTAAATGATACTAATTTTCCCTGACCATAAAACTCTAATTTGAACCTGGACTCCATTTTGTAGTGATGCTACCCATAATATTACACATGTGTAAAATCTTTCCTCTGTTAAAGAATAACTAAAACCAGGGGTGAGGACAATGAGGGCAAAGGAAGCTACATAAGAATATAGTCTTAGTAGCTATACCTGTGAAACATATCCTTGCCCAAACACATGCTATCACAATTGCCTTGTTTTCTTTAAAACTGTAGCTAAATATTATGGTTGGGGTGTGGAGTGGAAATATCTTTCTTGAGTGGTGTCATTTGTGGTGGCTTAAAAATTATAATGTAAAGATACCAGTTGTTTTTCTGTATCAGAGTGCAACTGGAAGTTATTTTTCTTAATATTTGAAATGACTTACTGAATTCTTAAAGATGGTTCTTAGTGAACTGTTTTAGCAGTCTCACTACAGTAATGGAGAAAACTTTCTTCATATAGTACTATGTCAGAATAAATACTCTAGCTATAGAAAATATGGTTGATAGTATATGCTGTAGTTGTTTGTGTGCACTGACCCAAGCTATTAAATCATTTAAGAGATTGGGTTTTTTATGATTATTGTTTTTCCCCTTCATTTTTGCTCTTCCTAATGGCAGAAATCCAGTAAATAAAATGAAGAAAAAAATCTCATCCTCTGAATGTGCTTATTATTAGAAATAGTAGTCAGTGAATTAAGTATTCTTAACAGGCTTCTTCAGTTGTTACGCACGAACAAGTATCTCTCACTAATACACACTTCTTAAATCTTCAGTGTGAGGAAGGTGGTGGGCAAGTTAATGTTGCCAAGTGATACTTAATCTGCCTTTCCTAATTTGTATATCTAATTATTATATAAACTTAATGATGCAGTACTTTGAGAGTAGAGGCTTTTTAATGCAAATTAAAACAAAGTAGAATGGGGATTCATTCAGCATAAACACTAAATGTGAACTTACTGTCCCCAAAGGCTTCAGTGCCCTGCATGGTTAGAGAAAGTAATGAATGAACTCCTTCAGGTACCTTAACAACGGAGCAAAATCAGAATCTCTCCACAGCTCTCATTTACAAAATGACACCATGAGATCTCACATATGAGGTACCTTACTGGAAAGAGTGTTGGAAAATATAAAATGTTATGCAATGTGGTAATGTGTCATAAGCTTGTTATTCTCAATATGCTTCTTTGCAGAGACTGAACTACATTTCTGAATTTTGGATTTGGTGTTTTTCAGCTAAGGAGTTAAACTCTTGCAAAGAATAAATGTTGATGATACATACCAGTGAAGGAAAATGTATGTAAATAAATGTGTCATGCCATAAAAGAGTAGTACTTGCAGTCAAGATTCCCACAGTAGAAATACATTTATTTGCAGGATGTGTGATGTTAATGAATAGAAACTATTGTCCTGCTTAAATGATTTATTTGCACTGAGTGTTAAGTATGTTGAAATGAGTGCAAGAATTGGTAGAAGTTATAAATTCAAATATTCAGCTTAGAGGATTGATGTTTTATACATAATACATATTTCCAAGTGCCTATTAAGGAAATTATTTTGCTCAATTTCTTACTCTTTGTTATGTTAGATTAAAATTATTTTTGGAATTACAATCTTTCAACTATGGAATGCCCATCTGGAAAATCTAACTTTGAAACATTTATTCTTTTTCATATGCTTTCAGTAGCTTTCATGGCCATATAAGATATATAGTTTTCTTTTTCTAATTTTCATTCTACTCTCTTACCCAAGTAAATATGTATTTTGCTTAAAATAAGTTCTGACAGTCAAGCATTGAATAAGAAATTAGGAAATTTGCACACTGTTCATGGGAAGAATAATGTTCAGCTGTATCTTGAACCAATCATCTAATCTTCCTATAGTTTTGGGGCTGATTCTCTTGATTTCTTGAAACTTATTCCTAAATCTCTGAGTAGTTAAAATGAATCATCATGAATTATTAGAAATTCTAAAAATGTAAGGCTAATCAATTTAATCTAATCTATTAAATCTATTAAATTAACATAATAGCAATTTACTATATATATGTGTGTGTGTATATGTATATATACACACACACACACATATACATATATATATATGTGTGTGTATATATATATATATATATTGTATAGAGAAGAATCCATTCAGGTGGTTGTTACAAATTCAGTGTGTGTGAATGTATATGATATGCTAATAGCTAATTAAAACAAGGTTTAAAATCGCTTTCAGTTTCTCACCTGAGTTAACACCAGGACTAGTAGTAGGAAAAGTTATGGTTATGTTGAGGGTTAGAAAACAAGCTCCCAGGAGGCCGATGAGCAGTCCATGCCCTGAATCTTGGATGAGGTAGCTCACTTTTCCTGAAAAAGTATAAAACTCCTAGGGTTGACTCACACTTAACACTACTAATTATTTTTAAGTTAGGGAAGAATAGGAGAATACCCATGAAAACAGAAGGATTTTTTTCTTATGAAGAGCGATTAATGTGTATCTTAAATTAAGGTATTACGTAAGGGCTACTGCGCATAAATGCTGTACTGCCCCTCTTTTGGATCCTCTTCTGAAGGAGGTCTTTATGATTCAGCTCATGCCCCATCTTCTGCTGTCCCCAGCTTTTAAAGCTGAAGCCACATCGGAGTTCTGCAAACAACCTTGCTCTATTCCTTTGCATTCCAAGCCTTTGCCTCAGCTCTTGCCTCTGCATAGATTGAATACTCTTTTTTTCCTCACGTGTACCCCAAAACACATACAGCCACACACACATATGTGCATGCACACTCCTACTTTAGGTATCATACTTCATGTCATTTCTTCAGGGGAAGTCATTCCTTTCTCTTCAGGCCATGGGCTCCTTCTTTGTCCTGAGATAGGAATCATAAGAAGCAGTTCATCTTGTGAGATTCTGAGGGGAGATGTATTTCAAGCAGAGGGAACAAACAGTAAGTGCAAAGGAACAGAAGTTGGATCAGGCAAAAATTATAAAGTATTCTGGTTTGGAGTGAGCAAGATAGGGTCAGAGAAGTAAATAAGGGACAGACATTGTAGGGCCTTGTAGGCCATCTTGATGAGTTTGAATTTTACTGATAAGCATCAGATTAGTACTTGTTACTGTGAAAAGTTCTCTGAATTTTGGATTCAGTTTAACTAAATGATAGGACCTCAATCATGACCGGCCCTATCAGAATGTGGCTAATATAACTGCTTGCTTCAATAAATATTGAATACCTATTTTTATAAATAATCATGAATGTTAGGGGCTTAAGGATACAAAGTTGAAAAGGACTTGATTCCTGTGATTGCTAATAAGAGTGGGATGAGATAATGTCATGTGGACCAGAAACCCAAGATTATGTAAATTCTACCTGAGATTAGCTGCCCCTTACTGAAAAGATCTCACAGGAAATACATGCTAAAAGAAAAAAACAAACAATAATGTCACCAAGTAGAGCATCATCTTCGGCCCCAGTATGGAATACAAATGAACCAGGCTACACGGGGGAATCATTTATTTCACATTCCTTTAGCCTAGAGCACTAATATCAAGCAGTTCTATTTATGAGAGCTCTTGAGTAACAGAGAGTGTCTGAGATGATGAAAGAGAAAAATAGGGACCCATCCCAGAGCATACCTTACCACTTACTCTTAGGAGGAAAAACAGCCATGAGGGAGTTTGTCCAAATGGGATAAAGACAATGCCATGCCATCGTGAACCTTCAGCTGAGCCCAAGAAAGTATCAGGAACATTCCTCCTGTTTGTGTATGTATCTGAGGTAGGAGCAGGGGAGGAAGAAGGAGGAGGGCATGAAAGGGTACTAATATGCACCTCTACTCTCCCCTCAAGCAATTTTTACTTAGGTGGAGTTGGTGAAATACACGTGACATTAGTAATAGCGGTGCATCGTGTCCTAAGTAGTGGTAATAATAGCGAAGTACTGGCTGACATTTATTGAGGGTGTGCTATTGCCAGGCATTGTTCTAGATGCTTTGTATTAACTCACAGTTTAGTCCTCACAATAGCCCCATGAAGGCGGGGGCTATCATAATTTTATAGATAAAAAAACTAAAGCACAGACAAAGTGATTTGCTCAGGGTCATTTAGTAAGTGGCAGGAACCTAAAATAAAAAATAAGAAGTGATGAAGGATTGTGGAAAGCATTTGAGCTATACTTTCTTCAAGTTGAGGACGTGAGGAAGTACAAGGGAGAGCGATGTTTGAGCGCAGGGAGCGTGCATGCCAGGAAGGTGCCTGGGCTGGCCAGATTGCTGCCTGATTGGCCCCCTTAGCAGGTCATGGGGAACCAGGAAGCCATGCAGTCAGAAACTGCTGGAATATTGTGGAAGTTTTGAATATGTGGCACAAAAATATCTTTTTAAGCTTATGGCAAGCTACACTTTTAAATCGTGTTGAATTATAGGATAAAGTTATTATGCAGAAATGTTTTGTTTCCCTTGAAAGCTAGAAAACAAGGGATGGCTCTCCCTGCATCTGTAAATAGGCTGCTGTTTTTCTTTCTTTTTGTAGTTGTAAAGAATCATTCATGCCAGCGTAGTTAATGAGCTTCCGCAGCTGTTAAATGAAATTATATATTCTGTTCAACTAGGGCCTTCTAATGCTGCCATTGTCTCCTGGCCATCTTGGTGTCTTCTCTAGCACCAGGATACTTCTAAATCACAATGGCCTGAGTTGTTCTTAGTCCAGGAGATTCTGAGGTCTGGGTCAGATAAGCCTGCAGAAAGAGAGGCTATTTTAGCAAAGGTAGTCATAATAGGATGTTATTTTTCTATATCACAGCTGCCCTCTTCAATAAGGACTGTGAGGAATGCTAGAAGGGAACTATTCACAATTGTCTAAAAAAGATTTTTAAAGCAAAATTCTTATCCATCAAATTATACACAGACACTAACTTTCGATCTTCCAAGTAGGGCACTTAACCAACTGCATAGATAGCTCTGGCTGAGGGATTTGACTGTGACTTGCTTCTTCTCTTCCTTCATGATGTTTCTTTGTTCCACACTTGTCAGAAGTGGAGCTTCCTGGTCAGGTCTTTTAGTATATGTTTGAAGATTTTCCAATCCCCCAGACTATTATTGCTCTAAATTTAGACTTTCACATCTAGTCTTCCTCAACTGTTTCTCTGAAATGCTCACTTTCCTCTTATGCACTCAAAAAATAATGTCACCTCCCCATGTGCCACCAGGAAGTCATTCCTCATTCTCATGCCACTGGGCTCCACTCTGGGTCTCTGATATGCAGCCTGCTGACCTCTCCTGGACTGTGCTCAGTGGGGGTCTTCGCCCTGCTGTGGTAGTGGGACTGGTTGTTCCAGATTGTGGCTAACTGTACAAGTTTCTCTCACTGTGCAGGATTTACAAATCTCCATTGCTTCTTCACAAATGCCCCTTTTTTCCAAACACCTAATTCTTTCTCCTTCTCCACTGAAGGATGTTTGGATTTCTTTCCACAATATATGGAATATATATATTTCTTTCCAAAATATATGGTATTATTGTACCATATATTTACCACTGGAAAAAAATATTTGCTAGGCAGTATTTGACCATCTACTGCATGAAAAACCTAGTCTATGGCTTCTGGGTTAGCATAAATAACTAGTTAAAAGTTAATCCTGGTGAAATATTAATTTAACCAATTAAATGATACCTAAGAGTTGAGCAAAGGAGAACCAGTGAATGAGCATAGGAAACAAAGATGCATATGAATAGATGCATGCAGACATATGGCAGCTACATATACTTTCCATTTCTTTGCCTTCCTGACTCTTATAAGACCATTCCATAGGTGGTCAGCCATTTGTTATTTACTCATTTGAGCTGTTTGCATAATAGGTGTCATTAATCTAATTGCGTTAATCTGATCATCAATTATGTCCATCTGCTCCTAACACCACAGCAATATGTACATTCTCTTATAAGCTCTTGTGCATGTCTTCACTTTTATTGAAGAGGAAATTTATTTCAATTAAAAGTGACGAAAATATCTTTGAAGAGGAAAAACATTGATTAATGAAAAGAGAAAGCCATGAGAGCTTTTCATGCCTTGGTCTCTGTTTATATTACTAAGGAGATGTTAAAAATACAGTCTGGAGCCTAGCATATATTCTGTTACTGGAGCATAACTGCCACTTCTGAAATATTGCTTAATAACATGTTTTCAAATAATCTGATGCCATCTCTGCCAAATTAATCTCTGAACTAATGAGAGTCCTTTCTGGGCTTTACAGATCTGCCTAGAGATGTGTAATAAAAGGTTTATACTCTAGGAATGCTACAGTGATAGTATTTATGTGGCTTGGCTAGAAATAGTCGCTCTCTTAACATGGTGGGTGTTTAAGATGAAGACTGTCCCTGGCATTGTACAGCACAGTAAGAACATTGGCCTGCTGACTAAACAAATATGATTGCCAAAGTGAATTATTAAATTCCAACTGTCCTCACTTGCTAGAGAATTTCACTCCTTTTTCTCCCACACAGCTTCCTACTTTTTATTAGATGAATAGTTTTCAGCTCTTGCAAATAATTGCTGTATTTTGCTAGTCATTACTGCAGCAGTTTCCCACTGTTTATATTTTGAAACTTGCACTTGGAAGAGTCCCGTTGAAGCAGAACAAATAAATATGTGTGTGCATCTGTGCAAATATTTATCTAAAATTTCATTATTAAAAGTCTCAGTGAACTTTCAGTCTAACCACTGTGCCTTGTATCACTTTTGAGACAGTCACATCATCAGGCTACTGTTACTTTACTAAACATGGGTGACTTCATTCCAGTGTTTCCTTTAGAGGACTATTTGGGAGACTCCCTTCCAATAGAGGAAGTGGGTTGATGAGGGCCAGTGTTCTCATTCCCGATCCTTCACATCTCTGAAAAGCTGCATCCTTTGTAGAAAATAGATCTGTATGTGTGCCAAAGTGTAACCCTGATGTTCATCAGGGGAGGGAGAGGAGGTCACATATTCCTTGTCTGTTTCAGCAGTAATCCTCCCATTTGGCAAGAGTTTGAGAGGAAGTATTTAACAATGGGATTTTATAAAATTCAATGTAGTAAAGAATGTTTTTATATTTGAATAGATCTAAGGAAGTTTTCTTTTTCTCCCCCCTGATAAGTGGAGGGTATTTAAGGGTAATGGTATCTGTGGATTTGTTGAGAGGATTTGGCTCTTTTTTTGAACTTTGTGGAATAATTATTTTTCCATTTTATCATTTCCATGAAAGGTAATCCTCAGAATAAAAAGCTGTAGTCTCTTCATACTGATCTTAAATATTTTGCTTAAGGGGAATTAGTGAGGAAATAACAGTCTCTCAGGAAGGTTTAAAACTGTGATTTTATTCAGCAACCAGAGCTCTTTTAATGTCTCCCACCATGCTAGAAACTATGAAGTTATTTTCTTTTGCACACTCAAAAGTATTTTTAAAGTCTTAAACCCAAATAGCTTTATGTTAAAAATAAAAAGTTGCACAAAGTAGAGGAAACGATGCTCTTGTCATCATCCCCTGTTTGCTTCCAACCATGTGAGGACTTCAAAGGCTGAAGGCACGTTTTCTAGGTCTAGGGCGCCTATCAGATAGGGTCAAATGGTTAGTTAGCAGTTACAGTCGAAAGAGGCCATCTGCTGAGGAATAAAGATAGACCTCTTTCCTCTAAGATGCACTAGGTTTACAATCTAGGATAAAAAAAATGGTGTAGGTCTTCATTAGCCAGTAACCCATGTCACCATAATACAGAGCAATAGTTACCCAAAAGTGTTTCAGTGTCTGCTACCAAAAAAAAAAAAAAAAAAAAAGAAGGCAAAGTAATCACTAATGCACATTTTAATTTATTGTACAGTCTATTTAGATTTTGTTAATATCTAGTCTTTATTTAAAGTAATTTTAAGCAGATATATTTGGCACAGATCATCAGAACATCACAAACCCTTCCTCTTATTAGGGACATGAAGTTACTTGGTCCACATCCCTGTCAAATGGCAACTCCAAGCTTCCCCACTGCAGGCCCGCGCGGGTGCACAGGCCTCAGCGGGGAGGCAAAAAAAAAAAAAAAAAAAAAAAAAAAACAAATGGCAACTCCATCAATTGGTCATTCAGACAATATTTCATTATCTCCTGATCTCCTATTTTGCACATAAAAAATTCATCCATTCATTTGATGGGTGTTTACTGAGCCCTTCACACAAAGATATGGCAAAGAACAATGCAGCTTCATTTCAAGGAGTTGGTGACTTAAAAGGAGATAAAAACATGAGAATTATTGATTGCATGAGAGAACCTGTGGTGGAAGTCATGTTGAGAGTTTTAAGAGGAGGGGTGTACAGAGAAGGTCTATTTAACTTAGTGTGAGAATCAGGAAACAGTTCACAAAACTTTTTGAACATATTGAAGGACAAGCAGACCCTAGGTGAGTGGATGAGTTGAGCAGATACACCAGAAAGGTAAAGAGCACTTACAAAGGGTGGAGGTGTGGAGAGCAGAGCCTACTTAGGAAGAGCAACTGGTGGATCATGCTGCCTGAGTAAGTGTGAGAGGAAGACCATGGACATAGCTGAGGAATATGACATTTAAAGATGAGCAGCAAAAGATGCCAGGAAAAGAGCCAGGAGAGGAGGAGGAAAATGAGGCCATAGGTATAGAGGGAGTAGAGAATTCAAGGAGGGAGAAGTCGAGAGTATCAGCAGCTTCACAAAGATGAAAGAATTTTAGCCTTGAACAGGAGAGGCGTCTTTCCTGTAAATAAGAAAAGATGAGTGGACATAGAACAGACTTGAGCTGGGACACAGTAATGTACTTTATGACAGAATGAACCAGATGAAGTAGGGAGTGAGGTAAGTCATGCCTGAGAGGGATGAAAATAGGGAGGAGGAGCAGGTTTGAAGAAGCTGCTGTGAGCATAGAAAAGTTGACAGAGGAAGCTATTCTGTGCTTCACTGAGGGTCAGCTGAGATTAGAGGCCATAAGTTTGGAGAGACATGTAGCCACTTGTTGGTGTCACTTTTTCCAGACTTAAATTCAAAATCCAAATATAGGCACAAAGGATGGGAGAGTATTATGCATTGGAAATCCCACCTGAGAAGGAAATGTGCCATTGGTTTGGGGCACCATCACTGTCACTATAAGGGGAACATGATGTTGTATGCAACTTTGGGCTATTTTGATAAATTATGTATTTGGCTTATCTAGAAGCAGCTGTTGTAACCCCCTGTCCTCCTGTCAGCACTCAAGAGTCTTTGGTTGTGCCATGACCTCAAAGTGCCAAGAGTCCACAGATCTGGCTTGGCTCAGTAGAGTTTGGAGTGGAATGTTACATTTCTGTGACTTCTCATATTTATTTCCCTCTCTTCTCAAGCATTACAGGCTGACCTGTATACTTCAGTGCTTCACTGTGTACAGTAGTATCTGATTTATTTGACCCTATTCAAGAATGAACTGATCCGCATAATTTCTAGATAAGTGAATTATTTCCCATTTAAAACTAAAACAACCAAACAAAGACAATTTCTAAGTGCATTAACATCGGTCTCTATAAAGAGAGTAATGGACCTTATTTATAGCAGTTTCTTGAAGACTTTGGGCCATGGCTATAAATATCAATTAGTGGACCATGTATGCCTGTTGAGTGCATTCAAGCCTCTGGGTTTTGTTTGTTTGTTTGTTTTCAGTTTTGGTTTTGGGTGTTTAAGAGTTTTGAGGAGTCATTTCCTTGATAATTAGTCTGCCAAATCACATATCTTACATTGTTTTCTGACTGCTAATCTTCTGAGTAGCAAGGATTCCATGCCTGATACTCCTCTATCCCACATAGCACCTAGAACAATGCAAATGGAAGCTCCATAAATACTTGGATAATTTCTAAAGATAGCACAGTTCTCTTAATGTCGACAAAATCACATTAGCTTTTTGGGGAGCAATCATCAGTATTAAGCCAGGTTGGGCTTAATGTCTATTAAAACTCATTCCTTTTTTTGCATGAATTGCTCTTTTGCCCCAGTTGGTACTTGTTTGGCTCAATTCCTGAATTTAAATAGGTATTTACATTTATCCATAAGACAACCCAAGAGCAGCAGTTATGTCACCTTCACTGCATAAGAAATATCTTAGAAATGTTACCTAATTGTTAAGTTAGATTCAACCTGTTGCACTAACCTGTCAAAGTCCTTTTGGATTCTGATCCAACAGAATTTTATGTCTGATTGGGAAAGCCTTCATTCTCTAGTTTAACTAAAGATACTGATAAAGATTAAAATTGTTGCATACAAAATGTCCATAATCCTGGCTCTCAGGGCTCTCCTCCAGGTTGATCTCTTGCAGTCCTCGGTTCCTTTGGGGTACAGTTGTTGAGCAGTGAATCTTCCTGATTGTATTAGGATCCAGATTAAATTTCTCCATAAGTACATGAAAGACTTGGTCAAATACACTTTGCCCAAATATTTTCTCTGTCTGCCTGTTCAGTAATCCTATCAAAAAGGGAAGAAATAAAAATCAACACCCCTATTGTACTAATAATACCTGCCTGCCTTCTCTCCCGGGTCCTTCTCAGAAAAGATAAAAGATAATTTTGGATCCCAGAGTATTTCAGACATTGGTGTATTCATTTAATAAACATATATTAAGCAGTTATTCTGAACTGGACTCTTGTGCTAAGAGTTTAGGATACAGCTGAACAAGTCAGACATTGTCTCTGCCCTCCCCAGAAATGTCCATTATTGCCTGGCTGCTCTCAAAGAAGCTGACGGGTGGAGCTTGAGTGTAAAGCAGCTGTCCTAAGTAGTAGACAGACCAAAGCTGGGAAGTAGCATGTGCAGAAGTGGAAGTTTTTCAAGTTACTGAAACTATAACATAAAATATGGTGCCAAGGTCTGGAGAGATTGGGAAACTGGTTGCACTATGAAACAAATAAACCCTAAGAAATTGAAATTTGGAGCAGCTTGTTTTCTAAAACATTTGGCGTTAATAGACTTCACTCTAGTAATTCAAGTGCATACTACGGATAACTTTCACACACATTGGTTAACATGCTATAAAAATGCCACTGTCATCTGAAGTAAATGTCTTTTGAACTTAGAACTGCCATGTAAGAATTTCGATTCTTTTGCCACAGAGGGAAAAAAGACCTAGCAGAACAATGAATCAATTTTTTACTACATTGCCTAAATCTAATGTTCTTCAGAGAGTTTTCAGAGAATTACTTTCGCAACATCCATTTCTCCCACTGTTTCTCCAAAGGCCTTGTATTAATCATTTCCTGAAAGTCCTTCTTTGTTTAGGTGTGTGCTACACCTGGGCTGACTCTTACACAGACTTCAAAGTTAATCATACCCCATGCTAGGATCTCAAAAGGACCATAGGTGGAGAAACATAAGATAAACGGCCCAAGACCCCTTACCCTAGCTCCATTCCTTTTCCCATTTGCCAGTGCAACTTATTCCTGAGTCTAAGTTTAGCAGCCCCACTAGAAAAGACTGCATGAAAGCAATGTTCATTCTTCCTTTGGAGCCCACTCCTTTCAGGAGCCTATGTGTCCAGCTTCCCTTCAACCCTTAAGAGATCCCATAGGCCAGGGTGTTTGTGCTCAAACCCAGAAGTTACGTGTACGACAGAAGGGAAAGAAATGTTTTCTTTTCCTCTTACTTTGCATATGTCCTGCTAGTCTCTACTTCCCTTTCATGAAAAATCCTTGTTTCTCTATATAGTAGCTTCTGGCACAAATGGATGTAACACTCAGATGTGGAAACTTACCTAAATGAAATTGGGCAAATATGTGACACCAGATATAAACACGACTCACTCCCTTGCTTCATTTAGTCTTGCTTCTTTTAGTTTCAGTAAGAAAGGCCTTACCTGACCCCCACCTCATTTAAATAGCACTCCCTTCCAACTGATCACTTAACCAGCTATACTTCCCTTGAAGCATTTATCACATGCATCAGATTATATGTTAATTTCTTAACTGACTTTGGCTCTTCATGGATACCCTGAGATCAGGGACTCACTGCTATATCCCTATAGTCTAGAACAGTGCCTGGTACATAGTAAACCCTTAAAATTTTTAAAGGAAAAACGCCTATTAAATTTTGACAATTAAGGGGCGCCTGGGTGGCTCAGTCGGTTAGGTATCCTACTCTTGATCTCGGCTCAGGCCATGATCTCACAGTTTTGTGAGTCCGAACCCCACATTGGGCTCTGTGCTGACAACGTGGAGCCTGCCTGCCTGGGAGTCTCTCTCTCCTGTCTCTCTACCCCTCCCCAACTCGTGCTGTGCCCCCCCCACAAATAAATAAACATTTTAAAAAACTTTTTTTAATTTTGACAATTAAGAACATTGAGGTTCATCTTAATAAGGGAGGTGCTGTTATCATTATCTGTTTTAAAACTTAGTATATTGAAGTTAAGAGCTTTTCCAAGGTCACACAAGTGGTAAATGGAACCAACATCCAAACTCAGACCTGCTGACTCTGTTTATTCATATGACCCTATAAAATGTCTCAAAATAGAGATAAATTAATTTTATAAATATTTATTGACTTGTCTTTATAGGAAAACCATAGTAAGCATAAAGGGCAGTGCATTAAACTTTATTTATCACAAGCGACTGCTTATCATATGTCAATGTCTTATCAGAATGAATAAGGCCAGAATATCAATTATAATTAATCTGAAGTTTACACATCAAGCACTCCAGTTTTTCTCCAACAGCTCTTAACATGGAATATTTATGAAAAAGAAATGGCCAATTCAATTTCACTTTTCATTTCTTTTGTCTAATTCTAAGGTAACTAACTTTTCATTCTTTGACCTTTAATTCATGTTGCGGTATTTTCCTCCCCTTGGATAGAGAGGTGAGAGAGTGGGGAAACACATCTTTCATGTTTATAAAGTATGCTGCTTCCAAACCCGCAGATGTCTCTTGCTTCCCTAGAGACACTCGGGCGCTGGTGGTTAAGCAACTAGATTTGGAACCACTCAGATTTTTTTTAGGCATCTGAACTTTTTCTTGCTTCCCTTGCAAACTCCCCAGTCTTTAGATGAGTTGGAAAGGTTATGTACAGTTCTCAAGTGAATTTTCAGATGATAGAGTTTCATTTTTTCCTCAGAGATTTTCTTGGGGGGAGGAGACAGTGAACTGGGCCAAAAGTTTTGATTTCGCAAAGGTAACAAGATAACATATTCTTTTATCATAAGACCTTTTTTTTTACTGAATTACAACTGACATACAATATTGTGTTAAGTTTAGGGATACAAGATAGTGCTATATTTTTATGCATTATGAAATGATCATCATGACAGGCCTAGTTACTATTACCATGCAAAGTTATTACGATACTACTGGTTATATTCCCCGTGTTATACATTACATCCCATCACTTTCATAAGACTTTTTATCATAGTTTATTTTTTTCATCTGAAACATACTTTCAATTTTAATATGGAAAAAATGAAGATCTGTGATTAATCTATGTGTATAAACGCAATTAGACATAGAGATTAAGTACCATTGGAACAAAGTCACAAAATATTTTACTACTATTTGCTTTTAAAAATTAAGCACATTTTCTTCTTTGCTTGATTCTACTGGGTTCTGTTTTGTATCAAAAGAAGACATTCTGTCATGTCAATATACAATAGCAGCAAAAAACTGCACAAGGATACCACCCTCGGTGCTACTGAAAAGAAATCATTTTCAAAAGTTTTCTTAAAATATATGGAGTCACCTATTCAAGTTTCATTGAATATAATCAGCCACCTGAGAACTTTTTATATTTTTACTACTATTTTAAAACCACAGTCAATTACTGTGTGGTGAGCAAACATCTTTTATTTGAATGACCTAAAAAGAGTATTACATCATTTATCTTAATTTCATCATTGTGAGGCTAGGTGCTCTTATGTCCTTCTTTGTTTTCTTAAAAAATTGTTGAAACACTGAGGAAATATTAACCAAAAAGTTCCCAAATAAAAATGATTATGATATTATTATTCATACCTAAATATTTTAGTTTTTGCCTATTAATTTATGGTGTCTCCCATTTTTTGCAGATGCAATCATGTGGTATATTGAAAGTATATTATGCCTTTAAAAATATTATACTTAAATATATTAATCACTTAAATGACTATATCATGTTTCTATACCACATTGTACCAAATTACTGTACTGTTAAAATTGTTTTCATTTTGATAAAAATATAGTTTCATCAACTCAAAATATATATCAAAATATAGATTTTTATTTCCATATAGTTTTTGATTCTATCACTTTAGTTTTTTCTATCACTTTATTTTTTATGGGAGACTAAATTAGGCAATTTCACCAAGTCCAAAACAGATTTTTTCACTACACATGAATATAACAGATTTGCTGGGGGCCACACCTGTGCTGTGTATATGTTTAAATGTTGCTAATTTGGTAGTTGCAACATGCTAACTCCAAAAATTCATTTACTTGAATTTCTTAGTTACAAAAAATTTTAGTGATTTCTATTTTATTATTTGTACTTATTCTTTTGGTAGTTATGTACTGATATGTGGAAGCAGGCATTTCTTGCCTTCATTATTGCATACTGAAACATTGATAGGCAAGGAATAATAAAGACATTGCATGATTCCCCAGAGAATTAACTTGATATTTTATATAGTACCACATGAAGTTATAAGAGACTATAAACTATCCAGATACATCTGATCCTCTTGTACTTTTATAGACATAAAGCTTTTAGAACCAGAGTATACTTCTGTTCTTTCATACTTCCTCTGCTTAGGATGTGCGTGTTTACGTAGATGCTGAGAGAAGTAAATCTGAGTTTAGATCTTAACTTTTGTGTGATTTTGAGCAAGTTTAAACCTCAGTTTCCTCATCTGTGTGGGTTTATTTACAACACTATGTTAATTTGCATTTGGCATGTGGCTTGGAACGTGAAAAGCACTCAAAAGTGTTAGCTATTACTATTAACGTCTAATCAAACATGATAACCCAAAACTGTTATGTGGCTTATTCAGATAATTCAGAGGAATTAACTTTTTAAAGTTTATTTATTTATTTTGAGAGAGAGAGGGAGAGGGAGGGGCAGAGAAAGAGGGAGGGCTGGGGAGAGAATCCCAAGCAGGCTCCACGATGCCAGCACAGAGCCCAACAAGGGGCTCTGTCTCACAAACCACAGTATCATGACCTGAGCCGAGATCAAGAGTCAGACGCTTAATTGACTGAGCCACCCAGGCACCCCTGGAATTAATTTTAATAAATGCATTTTCTTTTTCTATTTGGGAAATTAATAACATTCAACATTAACAGTAATTGATGGCATTAGACCCTCAAACATGCTGTACTAAAAAAAACAAACAAACAAACAAAAAAAAAAACATGCTGTACTAGATGTGTTTCCTAAAGCAAATCTAAGTGATGAAAGCATGCTCTCATCATCATGAAGTGCATGTAATGCTTCTGCCTATCAACAGGGAGGATTGTGCACCAGGTAGTATAATGTAATAAACATAAGGGTTGCCCATTATGACTTTATAACCTAAAAGACAACACAGTGACAATAATAGAGACTGTTGCTCTTTCATAAGTTGATATAAATAAATTGTAACAGACTTCATTTAATAAGAGACAAACTGTAACAATGGGTAATAAGCTGAACAAATTAAAGTCTATGCAAAAGGAAATATAGGAGCCATAGTGGACCACAGGACAAACAGTAATCAAGAACTCAGGCATCCTGCTGAATAGTAGGAGTGTGAGCTGTAAAGTCAGGCAGACCCAAATCTGAACTTCTCCATCACTTACGAGCTCTGTGACTCTGGATAACCTCACTGAATCTCAGAAGAAGGGGAAAAAAACTGTTCATTTAAGTGCACCATTTGTTGCCCAATAGACACATAGTAAATAATTCTTTGATTCTTATCTTCCTCCGTTATTCACAAAAGTAATGTGAAATACATACCAACCATAATATATTTGAAAACTGGCCAATGACTCCTTCAACATCTTCATCTAGCAGTATATAAGAGAACTGGAGTTACTAAATTTGGAAGTCCATTTAAAAGAAATGAATGTTCTTCTTTTCTAATATAAGCATTTCTAATATAAGCGTATACATTTCCCTCTAATCGTATCTTAACCGCTTCTCACAATTTTGATATTATATTTTCATTTTCATTCAGTTCAAGATACTTTCTTATTCCCCTTGTAATTTCTCTAATGACTCATGGCTTATTTACACAAATATTGTTTAATGTCCAAATATTTGGAGATTTTATAGATACCTTTTTTTAATTTTTAGTAAGGGAACATATTCTGTATAAATGCATTCCTTTTCACTGTATTGAGATTTGTTTTA